GGAAAATGTGCCACGCGCAGACGGAAGCGAGGAAGACGACTGCGATGCTGACGCCGATGACTTTGATGAGATGGAGGGCCAAGAACGGTTTTTCCGACGCGCCGAAACATCTCAAGCCCAGTCTATCCCAGAGACACTTGGAAAACGTCAAGGCGAAGCCTCAGAAGGTGAGATGCAGCGTGGCATGATCGGGAAGCTCGAACAGGCGTAGGCTCACTTTGATCGCCTCCTGTATGGTGCACAGAAGACTTAACTTCGGAGCAAAGAGCTGCAATGGAAGGGCTCGTCCAAGGATTGCAAGGTTCGATCATTGGTGACTCCTCGCAAGGCCTAGATGCGCTCAGAGATCCAAATGCAGTCTTCAACGGCGTCCGACCACTCACCAACTATGGCGATGGTGCCGCTTCGGCTCCGACTGGGGCGCTAGCCCAAGCGTTCCCAGGCTTGTCCGCATCCCAGCTCAGCGGCGTAGCCAACGCTCTGCAGCAAAGTCTTGGAACATCACCGCTGGGGGGCATTTCAAGTGGTGTGACCGGTCAATCGCCCCCTGCACTCTCGGGACTGGGGAATGGGGCAGACACCGCGCAGAACCAAGCGGCTAACATCGCTGCTCAACTTGCGTCCCTCCTATCTGGAGTGGCGCAGCAGGCAAGCTGGCCGCTCAGCAACACCCTGCAGCAAGGATACTCTCCGCTCGCTAATGCTCTCGGTGGCGTACAAGGCGCGAGTGGCGGCCTGTCGAGTCTTACGAATGCTCTGCCAGGCTTAGCCCAAAGCGTTCCCGTCTCGAGCACGATAAACCCTCAGCTGTCTTCACTGGTCGGCTCGTTGCCTCAACAAGCAGCACAGATCCAGCAAGCTGCTCAGTTGTCCAGCTTACAGGCCTTGCTCGGATCTTCCAATGCTTTAGGCCGAGCAGCTCCCGTACAGCAAGCGCCTCAGCTCAGTCCTGCTGAGCTCTCAAAGCTTCAGAGTATCCTTGGGTCAGCGAGCGCCGGTCAGGCTTCACTGCTCGGTGCAAAGTTGTCAGCCCAGGACTTTTCAGCACTGCCTGCCTCTTTGGACCCCAGCGCTCTAAGCGCCTTGCTTGGCTCGGCAAGTGTTGGCGGTCTGACAGGCGGCGCCAATGCTGGCCTTCCGACCGCCCTGTCTGGTATTCTGGGCGCAGCGGCTGCCCCAAGCTCGATTCTTGGAAGCCTCACGGGCGGTCTGCCTTTGACTTCTGGTCTTCTCGGGTCTGGGTCGCTTCCTGCGACGCTGCCGTCGAGTCTAGAGAATCTACTTCCCACTCAATCTGTAGCCCCAAAGACGCCTGGCTTGGCCTCGTTGACTCCGGAGGTCATTCAAGCACTGCAAAGCGCCCTACAGGGTGCAGCTACGACGGGCGCTTCCGGCCCTAATTGGACACCAGCTGATGCAGCTGCAGCCGCAGCGCAGAGTGTGGCTAATGCCGAAGCTCAAGCGGAAGATGGAGAGCCGCCACTCATCGACGCTGCTGATCTCGCTGCTGCCAATGCCAACCCGGGGCTGCTAAGTCCCGCTCAGTTGCAGACTCTCAAGGAGCAGCAGCCTGTGTCCAGCAACACCACCCAAAATGTGCAGAATGCGACCGGGACCCCTACAGAGAGCGCTGGCGCACCAAGCAAGACTGCGGATTCGGCTTACCAATTTGCAGCGAAGTCTTTGCCTCTGCCGGGTCTCGCTTCGGAACTGCCTTCAGGATTGAGTCTCGACCCGGCCACCATCGCTGCTCTAGCCTCAAAAGGTGTCGACGTTGGTCAGCTGGGTCAGCTAACGCAGCTGGGCCTTCCACTCGATGCGAGCACCATTCGTGCGCTTGCCAGCAAGGGTATCAATGTCGGATCTCTCACTTCCTTGTTGACCCCGAGCGCGGTCACCGGTCCCCTGAGCAACGCACAAGACACGCTCAATGGCCTTCCTTTGGTCGGCGGTCAGCTCTCTGGAGTTTTGAATCAGGGACAGGGCGCTGTCGCTGGAGCGTCTGGCCTCCTCTCGGGGCTTACTGGAAGCCAAGCGAGCGGACTTTTGAGCGGTATTCTCGGCAAGCTTCCCTTGAACTTGAAGGACCAGCAAGCGAAGGAGGGGAACCTCACTGAGGCGGCAGGATCTCAAATGGCTTTCGGCGCATCCACCGCATCGTCGCCCACTTCTGCTTCTTCTTCTTTTAGCATCTTGTCGGGCGAAGCTGAGAGTATCAAAAGCCAAATCAAGACGGCGCCTCTGGCCACACATGCCAG